AAAAAAAAAAAAAAAGTATGCGCTGACCTAAAAAAAAAAATTAAAAAAAATAAATAAATAAAAGAGGATTTTATTCAAATATTTTTGGAATTTCAAATAAAATGCATATGTGTTTTATTCAAATATGTGTTGTATTTAAAGTGCCCTTCTATTTGAAAATAAGATACCGTAGTTTTGAAAAAGAGTTTTAGAAATGCAACGCATAATGCATTATGTTATGGGGAAGAATGTAGGGGCTGCAAACAAGGGACTCCAACAAGCATAGCCGGCTCTGACTGTAAAGGGGATATTGCATGTTGCCCCTCACCTCGTTTGGATAGTGGATCGCTGAAAAAGAAGAAGATAAACAAAACATGAAGAGGAAAGTCCACCTTCCCGTGCCAAAAAAAAAGGCCCAATATGCCAATCACCCTCAGACGTTGAAAAGACGTGCCCCTCCTTGGCTGGCCAGACAGGTGAGGCCCTGCCATGACTATCTTTGGGGTAAGAAAGAGCGAACGTGGTTTTACGAGGGCTATGCGTTCCTAAGCACGAACATAAGATCATACCGAGGGTCTACTTGCGCTATGTTCGCAACTCATCAGGGGTGCGTTTTTTTTCCCTGAGACATTTCCCCCCCGAGACATTCTCGTCGTCCTTCGTTATACCGGTCGTTGATTCGGGCTCGTTTGGTCGTTGGAAGGTTCGAAAAATGCAGGCAGGTGCAGACACGACACTTTGAGGGGTGGTGGCAGTTTCTTTGAAAAATGTGGGACCGGTAGCTGCTCGTGGAACCGCGCCCTGGGTTTTGGTCGAAACGGTGGCAAAGTAGCGGCAGGGTGAATCTTTGGGGGGTGCTGGCAGTTTCTTTGAAAAATGTGGGACCGGTAGCTGCCCGTGGGACCGTGCGTTGGGTTTTGGTCGAAACGGTGGCAGCGCAGCGGCAGGGTGGAAAAGTTCGCCCCTCGTTAGGGGTGCGTTTCCCCCCCTTGAGACATTTCCTCCCCGAGACATTTTCGTCGTCCTTCGTTATACCGGTCGTTGATTCAGGCTTGTTTGGTCGTTGGAAGGTTTGAAAAATTCATGCAGGTGCAGGCACGACACTTTGCGGGGTGGTGGCAGTTTCTTTGAAAAATGCGGGACCGATAGCTGCCTGTGGGACCGCGCGTTGGGTTTTGGTCGAAACGGTGCCAAAGCAGCGGCAAGGTGGATCTTTGGAGGTTGGTGGCAGTTTCTTTGAAAAATGCGGGACCGGTAGCTGCCCGTGGGACCGCGCACTAGGTTTTGTTCGAAACGGTGGCAAAGCAGCGGCAGGGTGGAAAAGTGGAAAAGTCTGAATGGGAAAGTGTGCGGCCTTGGCCGCAGGTTGAAACAACACACCTGCATTGCATTTGCAAGTGCAAACAGATGTGTCTGAACGTGGACGTATTCAATGTCCCACACGTTCAGCGCCCAATTGAGTGAGTCACATGTGACAAAACAACTTTTATTTAATGAAAAAAACAAAACTTACAACAACAAACACTCAAGCACACACATGTAGGACATATGGACCAAGATTCAAGGATCACAAACCTCGACACCAACTATGAATGAAGGTATGTCAAATATCTAATACATTAATACCATACAAATTACCTAAATCCCACACATTCCAACACTAACAGATGTGATAAACACAAACACCCCAAGTATCACACACACACTAATCTTGACACATATCACAAATACTCCTTTTTTTTCATGCAACAATCACACTACTTCTAAATCTCACCAACAACGCCTCCTTTATCAATCAAGCATATACAAACTAGGGTCTCCTTTATCAATCAAGCATATACAAACTAGGGTCTGCGCACGATGCCCCCACGGTAAGTCAATGCTGTACTACCATGACTTTGGACAGTCTCTGGCGGCCAGATTCGTGCACTTTCTGCGCATGTCCATAGCACTGGCGGGGCCAGGCCTAGATAATAATGTTCATCTCACTAGTGGGGTCCGGCTTTCCACGGGGCCCATCACTTGAACACTTGAATGCAGGCGGAGAATTTGGGATGAACAGCTATCGGGTGGGGCCCTTGCGACGTTGTGTTGTGATCATAAACGTACCGCACCTTGTCTGCGTATCGCCGCATTTTCGAGCATTTGGAGTTGGAGCAGGCGAGCCCTGAACCCGGGCCAGAGGCCTCGAGGTCGAGACTGGCGTCGAGGACGAGACCGACTGAAAGCGCACGACCACCGTCCGATGCTATTGTAGCCGCCATGCTGGCGTGCTAAGGCGGAACGATGGCACGGACATTGATTCCTTTGACGGTCCAACCGCGTTTTTGTTTTATTGGCTGAGAGTACCTGTGTACAATTGCAGGCCCTGAACTGCGTCAGGCTGGCGAACCCCATTGCCCGGTTTTGGCGCAGACGTGGCCGCTGGACGCGGACTGCCTGCACCGCGTTCCCTGAGAGGTTTGGAGGAAGGACGGAGGATTACCCGAGGGACGCGCACGCGACGAGTTGGCCAGCTCTCCCACGGTGCTCGAGGAACTCCGGTTCCAGTTCGACGTTCCGGCTGCTCGAATGGCCCGTCTGTCTTCTTGCCTGGTTGCCTGCCTGCGCTTCCCTGTCTGCCAGCCTGCCTGCCTGTATTCCTCTGCCTGACGCTGCTGCGCTTGCTACGGTGTACCTTGCGCTGAATGAATGAAACGAGGAGGAGGATCGCCGGTGACCGCCATGGAGGATGAGAAACAGCACAGAGGAGCGTGTGAGATGGTTGGTCTTTTTGGTCCGTGATCCGAAGAGGGCCCAGTGTACTTCTGATAACGACGTGTGCATCAGGAGCTTGGGAGTAATGATGGAGGATTTTGTTTGTCGCGGAAATGAACGTTTATTTCAGCTGGAGAAGAATGCCTGAGAGAAGTCAAGGCTGGGGTGCAAGCGGAGGGTTGGGCTGCGGCCTAGATTCCCTATCTTTTTTCGCTGCTCCTCGATTCGATTTGCTCTCCGGCGTGCCCGCCTGCAACTCCTGCACGGCGCGCCTCCCCTGCTTGTCCCTCTCTCCCTCCTCCCACCTCCCACCCCCCGCCCACCTCTTCCCTCCCGGCGGTGTTCGTCGTGGGCCTCTCGGTCTATGAATGGTCTTGCTGACGTCAATTAGTCCTTCCCCTTCTCCCTATCTCTAAGTGTATCCGCTTCCCTCGTTCTCGTTCCCTCCTTTCCTTCTTCTTTCCTTGCATTGTGCATCTGTGCGATCATCTTCTGCTAACTGCTGCTCGTCTTCGTCGTGCTTTTCTTCGCGGCCGTTTGTCCAGCGAAGGACATTCCCACTCCTTCGCCTGCGTGCGTTCATTTCTTGTTGTCCTAGTCAGAGCTTGTCTGTCCATGCTTGCTTGTTGATAAATCTCGCACTTGTTTGTATATTTCCCTGTTTACTAAGCTCGCTGTCTTCACCCTATTTCTTCTTGTTTCTCTTGGCTTTGTTTGCGCGTTGCTTGCTGTAGCCATCAGGTTTTTGCTGCCAGATTCTTCCTTTGTAGTCTACAGTTATAAAGTCTTAGGTTCATTTTTTTGTTCGTTTTAATTTCACCCCTCACCTCCTCCCTCCTTCCTCTCGCTTTGCCTCCCCTTTTTCGTGGATTTGCCCGCTTCGTCTCACGTCATCGGTGGCCGGACGTGGCTCCCGTGGCCTCTGTTAGCCAGGAAACCTCTGTTTTAGCCGCGCCGTATGGGTGGCGTGTGTTGTTCCTGGCAATTGCTGTTGGCGTTTCTCCCCCCGGTCAAACACGTGTAAATAGCACCGTTTCTCGGCTTCCACAGCCACGTTATCTCATTTCCCCTATAGATGCTTTCCTGTCGAGGAGTTTCGCTTACTCACTCGAACTTTGCCCAAGCGGCTGACCCGTTTCCCTCCAGCCAAGCTTATTCCTTAAAGCCCAAGTGTCGTTTCGCGCCGCTTTGTTCGTGGGGCTCCCTTCCCCTGTCACTATCTCTCTCATTAAACTTTCCCTCGCTTGACGCTCATCAGTCCCCGGCATGTCATTCCTCTTCCTGTTCGCATTTTGCGTTTGGTAATTGAGCCCCTTGTAGGCAGTTGCCTTTCGGGTCTAACATCTTCTTCCTCTTTTTTCCCTCCCTTTTCTCTTTTCGTGGAGTCCGCAGTTCCTTGTTCTCTGCTCTTCATCGTTTGTCCTCCGCCACGTTCCCCCCCCCCCTTCCCCCCAACGCACACACACTCCCCGCTCTCTTCCCCCCTTAGATTTGCCCCCGTTTTCAATTCCTTGCCGCCTAAATAAGACGTTTGTAGTGAAGAAGGATTGGACCTGTCATCGTGCGGTGGGAGGAAGTGGAAGAAGTGGAGTTTTTAATGCTGCGCAGCCAGAGCGAGTGGAGGTGGCATTGATAATTCTCCATGCGAAGTCGAAATAGCTCTGCTTCGTATGCGAGCAAGCGAAGATGAATAGCACGAAGAAAGCATCATCTATGAATGGATCGGGGTCGCCGAAATCCCCGGACAATGTGTTGTCGGCAGGGAGTTTTGAGATTCGAAGGGTGTCAACAACGAGGAGGACACTTAGGGAGTCGGCTTCCTGTGAAAAAAAGAAGAGTGTAAAGGAACATTCTCTACACAATCTGGGTGGGGCATACAGTAGAGACGCGATGGCCTTGGATTTAAGTGGGTTGCCGGCTGATTTGCAGCCAATTGAGTTAGGGAGCGCATGGAAGAGATTCCAAGACTCCGGAGCTCTCAGCGAGGTTGGGTTAGAGAAGAAAGAGAGGAACTTCATGGTTGATCACATCAAGCAGCTGGAGGACGAGGTGAGACAACGAGGGACGTTCATGTTTGTGGTGTTTTGCTCGCTTGGATATCTGCAATCACCGCTCCTTTGCTTTTCATTTCCCTCCTTAGAAGAGACTTTCCCCAACGATCCTGCTTTCATTGGCGCCGTCTTATTCTTCAATCCTCTTTGAAGATCTACCCAGAATGGTCGATGTCGTTATTAGGGGCTCTTTTTCGGGGTACGGACGGAGGGAAGGGGGTCGGAGGAGGGTGGAGGGAGGAGGAGGAGGAGGAGGAGGAAGGAGAGACGTCGCCAGCTTGTGTTTGCTCGTTTGGTCGTGCGTGCCTAACTGCATTCCGTTCTGTTCTCTCGTTTCCTCTCTGGCCCACTCTGGCAGTTGCTTTGGGGCTCGCTCCACTAGTCGCGAAATGTGAAAAGACGCGGGTGTATATTTCCGTTAAAGCTGGAGAGACGATTTGAAATTTTCACATTCGGCTAGTATCGGAGCAAGGGTCTTTATCGCTGTTTGCCAGTGCTTCTGTTAACGGCGTATTCGATCGAATGAGTGGACCAGAAGAAAGGGATAATGCTCGGAGGCTATGGCGCCTGAAATGAAAGAACCTCGTCCTTTCACTGTGAGGAAAGGCTAGCCAAAGCTAATAACATCGCGCAAGAGGCTTGCTATTGGTTGAAGTAGCATCTTCTTGAACATCGCCCCGATGTCGCTGTTCACCGTTGTCCTTGTCCTCCCCAAACGAGTAAAGTAACCGAAGTGTTTGCACGTGCTGCCTTCGAAACGAAGGCTTGTTGAAGAAATGGCTCTAAAGTGAGTCTTTGATTGATTTAGGCGTTCGTTTCCTTCGGCTTTTGCAACAGTCGAATTGGTAAAAGCATAGTGGTCAACTACAAGTGACGAGTCGGAAGAGGCGCAAGGTGCTCCATGAGCGTGCGCGGGTGCTCAAACTACATACGCAAGTTTGTTGCGGCGGCGTTTCCTGCGCAACAGTACGCCTGTGCGCTTCGTTTTTTTTTACCTAAAATCCACCTTAGAAGTTGGTAGCGCTCTCATGACGGGCTCGTCTGTCTTCAGTTTGTTGAGTGACATCAGGCTCCGTGGATGGCCGTGTGCCTCCCAGCCTCTGTTTCTCAGACGATTAATCATTATAACGCTTATGGAGATCCAGGACGAGCGTTTTTTTTGGGGCGGAGAGAGAGAGAGAGAGAGAGAGAGAGAGAGAGAGAGAGAGAGAGATTTACGGGTCTTAGATGTTGGCGTGTGTTGGAAGTCAGGAGTTTGTTACGGCAGGTGAGTGTTCTGGTTATCTTCATCGTCAGGACAACCACCTTCATGGATTTTCTGTTATTGGATTGTCTTCCTTGTCTACGAAGATAATTTTTAATTTCCGTGAATAATTTTCCCTCTTGCATTTATCGCCCAAGCTTTCGTGAAGAACGTTCCCAATTGCGCTTACGTTTCGGCGGGATCCATGGACTTCACCGTAGACAGAATAGCTCGCGGCCCTTTTCCGCTCATGACTGTGAGTATGGTTAAGGGATAGTCTTACGCGATCAGTAATCACCGAAGGTGGAGGTTCCAAGGGCTCGGTCGTTAGCTGATGAAAGTGGGAAAACTCGTTGCCGCGTCAGACGAATTATCTCTGACCTTCTTATATGCGAAAAGTCCTGACCTAAATTTACATTTGCAGAGAATGTTAGTAAGTTTGTAAACCCGTGTAGACGGCCAGTAGCTACTACTCTTTTCAGCAGTTACTGCAGTAATTATTTGGTTGCGAATTGGCGCGCAGCTCTTTCCGTGTATTCACTCAGAGTGAATCGATATCAAGGTAAATACTCACATATAAATTTATTTTCAATGAATCTAGCCCCATGCCGTGTATGACCAAATAGCACAGAATTAATATAGATGGATTTAGTCCTTTTGTTTGTCTTGGATACATCCCGTCCTTTTCCGTATCACCTCGGGGTCTCGCCTGTCCAGTTTGTTGGGTGCGGACCCGGGAAGCGCGATGTGGAAGGGTGAGGGCTGGGATGGCATTCGCTACACTCTTTACCAGGATCCAGGGGCGTAACCCCTCTTGATTTACTTGGTGTGCCATGTGATGGGTATGCACAAATTCACCGATACGAATCTGAAAGAACTTTTAGACACTGTACAAACACGAATTAGACCGAGGCTGTTACTGTGGGGAGGATGGCGCAGATTACGGCGTTTGAAACTGAAGACAAGTGTATGATTTGTTTCAATCCATTGCTTCAATCCTGAGCGCGCCACTGTGCTTTGCGTCAATCCTGAGCGCGCTACTGTGCTTTGCTTGAATCCTCTGCGCCCTTTCATGCATTTACCCTGCCAAGCTGATCGCTACGGTTCACGCAGAGTCAGAGATGAGCGACGGAAATCTCCCTGGGGGTTCTGACGGATGAGGACGCGCGTTTGTGAAGAAATGATTTGCGTTGGAAAAGGTGATGGGGATAATGAAGTGTTGAACGAAGAGAAAGAGAATGAGTGGTACGGACAATGGCTCGCTGCGTAAGGACTAGGGAGGGGCAAGGTTCGGCTTTTCCCGAGCATGAAGAATGGGAAGGAAAGGAACAGTGCTTTGAGTGGTTGGCATATGTCTCGGCACCCAGGAGACCTGGCTGAGGAGATAGTGGGTTAAAATGGCCCGTGGCGAAGCGAGAGAGAGGTGCTGAACGTGGAAGATGGAGTTAACAGAACAACAATGATTTTTTTGTGCGTCGATCGTTCCGTGTAGAGGTGCGATGGCGCATGTACAAGGGAGAGAACGGGTGCATATCCGCGCGCGCGCATGTACAAAGGAGAAAACAACGAGGGAGATGAAGTTAACAGAACAACAATGATTGTTTTGCGAATCAATCGTTCCGTATAGAGGGAGAGAACGGGTGCATATCCTACACACATACACACACACACAAACACACACACACACACAGAGGGAGAGAGAGAGAGAGAGAGAGAGAGAGAGAAAAGAACAATGATTTTTTTGTGAGTCGATTGTTCCGTACAGAGGGTGCATATCCTACAAAGAGACACACACACACACACACACACACACTCAGAGAGAGAGAGAGAGTCGCAAGCGGTTAGCTGCCGTGAGAAACCCGCCGTTATGGATGTGATGGAGGAAAGCGGCAGGAGGTGATGTATCTAACGCACTTGAACTCGAGCTGGCGAGGGGTTTCTGGAAGTGGGTCAGCAATGTCATATTGCCGGGCATTTATATTCCCAGTCGATGGCAAATTGTGGGCATGAAATAATATTTGCACTCGCTCTGGATAACGCAATAGCGTGCAGGATTGTGAAACTGCCAAGCCGTCGTCACCGCGAAATTTCCTGTTCGCTTCCTGGAACCCAGAAAAAGAGAGAGAGAGAGAGAGAGAGAGAGAGAGAGAGAGAGAGAGAGAGAAACTTGCAATAATAGACAACACGTGCGAGGTTTTACTTTGGCAGTATACACGTCCTGTCCATGGCATGCGACAACTGTCGCGATTACCCTTCCACCTCACTGAGAGAGAGAGAGAGAGAGAGAGAGAGAGAGAGAGAGAGCTTGGTGGAAGAAGTGGGGGTGCTTGTATAAGAGAGCCACTCCATTCCATACATGCCTCTGAATGCGCGTAAGGGTCTGTCGGGTGCTGCACTGTCTCGTATTTACGTCCGTGGGCACTACGATATGGTTTATTTGTCATTTAGGATAAGTGTGGATCTAATTACCAGTCGCTCGCTGATTTCCACATTAATTTTGAGCCTTAGCGATTTTATGTAGGTCTTGCTCCTTGATTTGACGCGCTCTGTACTTCATATGTTGTGTTTTTTGGACCCGGTGTTGTAGGGGAGCTGGGGAGCGAGAGTGAGGGGGCAGGCATTGTGCGTGGAAGAGGGGAGGAGGGGAGGAGCAAAGAGATGGGTTCTTGCTTTTCTTCTGCGTTTGTTTATTGGTTCGATACTGCGCTGTTGTCTTTTCTTGTGTGTGATGACGTCGCCGATGTGTTGTGGCTTTGCCTTTGCAGCTTTACAAGTACCAGTATCACATGGGCTTACTCTTGATGGAGCGCAAATCGCTTTTGGCAGATAATGCCAAACTTGATAGTATGAAGAAAGAATATGAGGAGATTCTGAGGCGCGAGAGGGAGGAATGGTCAATAACCCGAATCGAGTACGAGGATATCGAGACAAGATTGAAGGAGACTCTTCTCGCTGAACAACAGTGCGTCAAGGAGGTAATGCACGTCGTAACGGTCCTTGTACTACCTTCAGTTCTCTTGTTCTTCGCTGGTTTGGAATCTATCCGTTCCTCGCCGGTATCCTCTGTTTGGCACCCTTTGGCACTCCGTTTATCCGTCCGTCTGCAAAGTGCTTTGCCATTTCTTCGAACAGTTGATTCAATCGTCTTCAGCCTCTTCAATCTGATACCTATCTATCTGTTTTTCTCTCTCTCGCCTTCTGTTTTTTTTTCTCCCTTTTAGTATTGTGATTACCAGCGCGGTTGGTGTCAAATGACCGGTCATTACCGTTTGTGTTCCCCACTTACCGATATCGTTTTCTATTCTTCCGTTGACACGTTTTCTTCCTCCATTCTGCTGCTTTTTCTCATCGTCCCCTTTCTTTTTTTCGATTTATGCATTATCTGCATTTCTCTACGCCTGTTCCTTCCCGTCAGTTACTCTCCAGTAGTATTCTTATCTTTACCGTTCGGTTCACGATGGTCAGCGACTGTTGCTTTCATTTTAGCGTCTCCTGAATAGATTCCCGCCCCCCCCCCCCCCCCCCCCCCCCCCCCCCGCTTGTTTCCCTTCATTTGCTACCACTGCATGCGGTGCACTTTATGATCCTTGTCATTTTATCGTCTTTGCTCGTCACCACTATGTCTTCCTCTATTATGGCTGTTTGTATGTTTCATTTCGAGAAACCTGCATGTAGTGCTCTCATCGGCTTAGCAATGAAGCGAATGAGAAGAGGGATTAATGAAGGGTTTTTCTGGGGTGCAAGTGTCTTCTGGAGCTCCTGGAAAAATGTGTTGCTGCACTCCTCTCTGCTTTTGATCTAAACGAATCGGCTGTGGTTTAGTTCGTCCTCGTTACCTTTGAGCAGCGTTGTGGGAAAAATATTGCCTTTGCGAATGCGATGTATGCTTTGAGATTCAGCTTTTGGAAGTCTATGGATTTCAATCTCACATCGATGAGAGATAAATATTGCCTTTGTAAATACGATGTATGCTTTGAGATTCAGCTTTTGGAGGTCTACGGAATTCATTTTCAGATCGATGATAGATATGTTGATCGCACTACTGGCGATGGCTCAGTATTAGTATGTATGTATAGATATGTGCAAATTGGAGTAGCGTGGACGGTGTTTGCGAAGGGGCGATGTTGTTCTCATTTTGGAGTACGATAAAATGACGACCAAGGTGGTATTGTTTTTGTGCGGCATATCGATTATCATTTTGTTTGTTATCTGAAATGGAGAGCTTCCGTCTTGTGGCGCAATGCAGATGGAGAAAACATTGCGAGAGGTGCAAAAGGAGAAGGAGGAAGTCACCCGCTCTGCAGAGGTTCGGTTCTCGGATGCGCGTGTCCTTATTGCTGAAGCCGAGAAAAAGGAGCAGGCTACGGAATTGTCTCGGAAGAATGTGGAAGCTATGAGGGCGGAGGTTGCCAGGAAGAAGGTGGAGATTGAGGCAAGAGCAAGAGAGGTAAGCTTTGTGGGTTTAAGGGTTTGGGCGGGCTGTTAACGGAGAGTAGGGGAGTGAAAGGAAGGGGGAGGTCGAAGGGTAGCCGACTGTATTAGTATTGTAAAACCTCCTCCCGTCAGCGCGTTTCTCTCTGCCTGTTTGCCCATAAAAGTCTTCCCATGCAGATTTTGGTTCCACTCTCATTCGTTGTACGCCATGTGCAAGTAACGAAGGGTCCTGAGGAGATGGGAGGGCAGTGAAAGGGAGGTCGTGGGGTAGCCGAGTCTATGGTGAAAACTCTTTGTCAACCTGTTTGCCCATAATAAAAGTCTTCACATCCGGGTTTGGCTCCAGTCTCACTCTTTGTACGCCCTGTGCAAGTAATGAAGAGTCCCGAGGAGCGGGTGGTAGAGGGGGCTTGGAATGAGGTGAAGTGAGTTAGTCCGTTTCTGACGCTGGCTTCTTCTCTTCTCTTCTCCTGCCGACGCTGTGGGAAAAGACCCTTTTCTCAGCTTATTTGTTTATTCTTTATGTATCTATTGCAGCCTTTCTCAAGCTGCCTCGTTCTCTGTGCGATTCTTGCTCCATGCATTTCCAGTCCATTTCGTCGACCTAATGTGAAGACCGATTTGGTTCAGTTAGCGGGCCATCCTCAACGACCAGACAAGGCAAATTCCGCTGCTGCTGTACCCTCCGAGGCGAAAAAGAGAAAAACCGCTGGTGCAACGGTGGTCTCTGAGCTTTTTCCGAGTATGCGGAGGAGAACGTTAACGTGGGCTGTCGGCAGAGAGGAAGGGAAGCCGTCCCTTGCCTCTTTCTGTATGCGCTTAGCGTTCGCTATGAATGCAGTGGGTTTGAACAACACTCGTCGTAGTGCAGATGCAGTCGAACTCGTGAGCTGATCCTGACTTTTCCTCCACCTTCTTATTGAGTTGAGGCTTCTCATCTTTGGCCTACAAGGTTGTTTTAGATGGGCGGTGTGTGTTTCCTTCCTAAGTGCATTCGGCATTATAGGCAGGTTCCTTTATTTCCATACTGGCCTGCCTTTTCTCGTGCCGGTTGCCGTTTACTGTTGTAGTCTGTCTGTTTCGTGGTCTGCTTGGCTTGGGTCTCTCGTTTGCTGTGAAATGGCTGGTAGTTTGTCTTTCTTACCCGTCTTGCAGGGAAGAACTGGGGTCCCATTTGTGAAAAAAGTACCTAAAAAAAAGACTTGATAAAGAAGTCACAATGTTTGGCAATAAGGTCAGTCAAATCTCTTGCCTTCTTGTGTTCGGACTGTGAATCAGGTGATCCAGCACTTGCCTTCTAGTGTTCGGACTGTGAATCAGGTTATCCAGCACTTGCCAGTTGCAGGGCGACAAGGAATCTCAATGCAGCCTGTGTAAACGGGCGTTGGCGAGTGACGGTGCTGGTTTACTTGTTAGGATGATGCGGCCACTGTTGCTGAGTGTCATGTCTCGTTTTTCGTGTCATTGTGTTGTGTGACGCTGTCATCTGTGTACAGTTGGAAGCGAAGGAGAACCAGGTGAGGAAGGAGAGGGAGCAGGTTCGTATCCTCAGTGGCGATTTGGAGCTGAAGAGACAGGAGATCGTGGATAGAGAGAACTTGGTGCGTGAATGGGAGGTGAGGTTGACGTCAACGGAGCAATCTATAAGGAAAACGGAAGAGACGACCAAAGTGCGTGAAGATATGGTGCTCAGGAAGGAGCGAGAGGTCGACGAAGGCCTCGCAAGATTGGAGGGAAAGAGGAAAGGTCTGAAGGAGATGGAAGATGACCTTCGGCTGAGGGAGAGAGACTTGGCAACCAAGGAAGAGGTTTGTGTTACCCACCACTGTCGCCCTCTGCCCTACGGAACCTCTAGTGGTTGTAAATCCAGAGGAAGAACAGTCAAATGGATATGCACTCTTTGTTGTTGTTGTTGCCGTAGGAACGTGTGCATGAAGCATCACTTGGGGGTCAGATGAATGGTAAACACATAGAAGATGTGAAAAGAAAGATTATTTCATTGTGTGGCTTGTGGACCTATCTTTGTGGCCTCTACTCTTTGGGGTCTCAACTGGTTGTAACCTTAGACTGAGTAACAGTGATCGGTTTAGGCGTTGTTGCTGCCGTAGGTACGTGTGCATGAAGCATCACTCGGTGGGTCGGAAGAATGGTAAACATTTGGAAAGATGTGTAAGAGTGTGACCTTTATGATAGATAACATATATATCCGTTACGGGATTCGAACCTGTTGCTTTTGCCATGAAAAAGCCATGTCCCATACCTGCAGACGAAAAGGAGCTCAGAATGTGCTTGTAGCTAAGATCCGAATTCAAAGGGAAACAGCCCGTATCATACCATTGTTGATGCGTCTACACGAAGTGTGAGCATGCGAGAGCATAGAGGGACGGTGAGGGTGGTGCGATAGAGCAAAAGAATCTCGTTTCGGGTGGATCTGAGCATATAGTTGTAGTTGCAGGGTTCTATTTTCCACCTTTTTCCGAGATGTTGCATGAGAAGATGACCGTTGGCACCTTTTTCTATCTCTTTCTAGTTTCAACCTTCTCCGACGTGGTGCCTGAGAAGATGACGATTGGCACCTTTTTCTCTCTGTTTTTTTTGACAGCTGGCATTTGTTTGGGTCCTGACTTCCCTGTGTGTGTATTGTCTGTGTCATTCTCTTCGAAACAATGGTTGGTCTTTGCCAGAGCTTGGTTAGGAGGGAGGTTACGGTTGTGCAGCGCGAGCAAGCCCAACAGGAAATAGAAGAGCGACTGACCGTGAAGGATGAGGTAAGACTCTCGATTTGACTTTATCATTGCTTTCGAGTATGGCAATCCCATCCGAGGATGACCTCTTTGCTTCTGGGGTTCATGTGTTTATGTATGTACTTGAGCGTTGCTCTTTTTCTTTTTCCTTTTGCACAGTGAGGCGACAAGGAAAGGACATTTAAAATTGTGATGACTGTTTTGCAGAGGGATGGGAAAGAGTTGGACATGGTATTGAGTACTGCCTTAAGTACTCGATACCAGTACTCAATACCATGGAGGTGGACGAATTGCCTCCAGTACCGCCTTCCCCTGGACAGGACCGGATGGTCATTATGGCTGTCCCTAGACTGAAAGTAACACCAAATGCAGGGGTAATGACCGTACGTACTATTTAGGGGAAGATGGTAGTACACATACATCTGCAGTGCTGGAAGCAATCGGTCCACCTTCACTGAGATCATTGCGGTCTGTGCAAGATAGCTATTTGCACCGACACTGTGCGTTCTGCACGTAGGTACAGTGTCTCTATCTGCAGTGCTGGAGACACTGTACCTAGACTGGAATTTGCACCAAATGCAGGTATAAGACCGCAGTCCGTGCATACCTCTTGGCCACCTCCACTGTACTTGGCAGGTATGCAAAGCCTGCATGTTACATCAAAAGCCGGCTTTGAAATTGTGAAGTAAAATTAAAAACACAATTTGTCCTGAAAACGATATTTGTTTAGAAGTCCTGCATCCGGAAGTTGATACCATATATTTGTAGCAAAGCGCACGTGCGTTGTATAGGAATACAAGGCATCCCGTGCGTTCTATTTTTAAATAATGCACGCGCGCTTTGCTTTGTTCGGGGGAAGACTGGAGGAGACCACGGGCTGACATCAAGGCTCTTGATGAGGATCAGTTGGAGATGGCTGGTTGGTCTATGATGCTGTCTACAGATTGACTAATTACACATTGAAGTTATGCTATGAAATTCTGGGAAAAGGGCTGATTCGTGGAAACGCAATCCAAAGCTGCTTTTGCTTCCTTGTGGGCGGCACATGACTGTGGGACTTAGTGTCACGATGCTGCTATCTTTGGTAATACTGTGTGTGCAGGAGTTGCGAAGTGCAAAGGAGAGGCTGCTGGATAATGAGCATGACGTAAAGATTGAGAGGGAGAGGCTGAAGGAACTGGAAGCGTTGCTCTCAAGGCGTCAGGATATCCTTGAACAGCAGAAGCAGCAACTGGTACGTGGTTTGCTTGGTCTGTTAGTCAGCTATGTGACGTGAACGAGAGTTGGGAACGACTGTTGCCAAAGAGCTAAATCTTGTTTGGGCCGATGTTCTTGCATCTCTGTTTTTTGTTTTGTTTTTTTTTTTTCGCCCCGGTGGACCACGGGGCAGATTAAAAAAAAAAAAAAAAAAACGCTTGGGTCACTAGGCGAGGTGGTGCATCCCCCCCTAGTGCCCTCGCAGGTGCTCCAGTCTATTGGTGAGGAGCAGCACCTGCCGGAAACCGGGTCCAGCGACCCATAAAACAGCAACTATGTTTTTGGAACCTGTATTGGGCCGCTCCTCACTGATACCCTCCAGAACTACTACTCCACAGATATTAAACGCATCAAAACAGATATTACACTAAGGTATTGGATCTCATATCTTATCAGTCACGCATCAAAACAGATATTACACTAAGGTATTGGATCTCATATCTTATCAGTTTGTATTGTGCTCTTTCTAATGGTCTGACTCTATTCTGGCGCACAAGCCGTGTTTTTTGTAGGTTGGGTTGGCAGTAAGGCTGTGGCTATGCATATGCTCTGTCATTGACGTTCACTTGCGTCTGAATGGTACTTGAACAGCATGACTCTGCTCGCATGCAGAAGCGGTTAGCAGGGACCACCACTTTCAGCCCCAGGTTAACACCCCCCCCCCCCCCCCCCAAGCACTGAGAAGTGCGTTTGGGGATTTTTTTTTCAGTTTTTTTTTTTTTTAAGCCCTGCTTTACTTTTTGTCAAGGTCTGTGTGTGCCAAGTTTGTTGTTTGTTTGGGTCGTGGGGATGAGTGTCTTGGCCAGCCCTGAAATCGTGCAATCCTGAAAACTGAAAGAGCGAATTTTGCATGAAAACACACTTTTGCCTTGGGGTTTAAGGCCCATTTGATTTTTTTTTTTTTTTTTTTTTTTTGGCTGTTGGTTTATTTGGTGTCCACTCTATGGAATGGTGACAAGTCTGGCTTGAAGGTGTGAGACGTTTGTTATAATGGCCCGGAAAGCACCCTGAAAAGTTAGGCTCTGTTAACCACGTCCTTGCACAGCATGGCTCTGCATGGCTTGTGCATTCCTGTTTGTGCGCTCCCTGAACTGCATGGCTGCTGAAAATTTCATGTTCCGCCGATTTTTGCACTGGGCTCCCTGGCAAACAATGGATGAGCTCATGGCTATCGGTTTGGTTTGCCTTTCCTCTCCTTAGTTGCTTTCTTCTGTGCTTGTTTGTGTAAGCAGGCTTGTTATTGCTGCCAGGTTTGGTTGTTCCGTGTCCCTCTTGCAGCTGCGTGAATCGCGTCTATGCATGTTCTGTCAGAACATGGGTTTGGACCTGGTTCCAAATTCCTTGCTGGAGTTGGGTTGTCGCCTTTCTAGCTGTCAGTATGGTATTTTGCACCCCTCCTGGCTCATTCCTACATACCTGTTCTTACTATGGATAGCTGGATTCGTTACCACATCACTGTTGTTGGACTGGTTTTGTGAATGAGAGCTTCAGTAATGATCTCATGTGCATGACTGTCGCTCTCCGCTTGTGGTCCGTGTTGCAGTCGTCGAGGGAGAGTGCTGTGACGGAGAGGGAGCTTTCAGCAGCTTCTACTGTTCACAACCTCAAATTGGAGAGGGAGGAGCTCGAGAGGAAAGAACGTGATATTCGGCTGCAACGAGAAGAGATTGAGGAACAGCAGGCCTTGCTGAACGACAGTCAACGGCATGCACAGCAGTGGGAAGCGAAATTGGAAATGAGAGAGAGGAATCTGGAAGCCAAGGAAGATTCCCTGAAGGAGCGCCAGCAGGAGGTTGAGCTGCGTGTGAAGGGAATCCTGGACAAGGAGAGGGAAGTGAAAATGGAGAGACGGCGAATTGAGATGGTCTCAAAGAAGTTGGAGGAGGAGAAAGAAGAGGTGCGGCTGGAGAGAGAGGCGGTGAAGAAGGAACGAGAGGTAATCTGTAATGAGCAAGAAGAGCTGCGAAAGGAGGCTGAGGAGTTCAAGAGGCTGAGAGAGGAGGCAGAAACCCTTCGTGACAATGCTTTGGCAAGAAGAGCAGAGCTCAAGAAGGACAAGGATGATCTGGCACGGGAGAGGGAAGACTTGCTGAGAAGAAGGGATGACCTGAGGAAGGAGAAGGAGGCGATTGTCAAGGAGCGGGAGGAGCTGAAGAAGGAGAGAGAATTGGTTGTGCAGAAAAAGGAGCAAGTGAGTGCCGATCGTGAGAATGTTGAAACAGAGAGGGATGAGCTAGAAAGGGGGAGGAGTGAATTGGAGAAGGAGAGGGAGGAGCTTAAGCAACTCAGAGTGGATTATTCCAAGGAATTTGAAGGCCTACTTAAGCTCAAGGATGATCTTTCCGAAAAGGATCGCAGCATTAAGATGGAGAGCAGGCGGGTTGAGATTGAGTTTAGGACACTGAAGGAGGAGAAGGAAACTGTACGTCGAGAGTTGGAGGAAGCGAGGAAGGAAAGGGAGAAGGTGCAGCAGATGAAGGTGGACGTGAAGAATGAGAGAACGGAGCTGGAGGTTTGGAAGGAGGAGATGGAGATTGAAAGGGACAGGCTGGAGCGGGAAAAGCAGGACGTGAGAAGAGAGCGGGAAGTCCTAGTGAGGCACGAGGAGGTGCATGTGAAGTGGAAGATAGAGGTTGAGGAATCGCAGAGAAGCATCAAGATTGAGAAGAAGAAAATTGAAGTGGATGCCCGTGCATTGAAGGATGAACGGGAGGGATTGAAAAAAGAACGAGAGGAAATTGCTAGGGCAAGAGACCTTCTGGACATCGATAGGGAAACCCTCAAGAAGGAAAGAGAGGCCCTGGATAGGGACAAGTCAGAATTGGATACGGAAAGGGAGAGATTGGAAGCCAAGGCTGATGTTCTGGAGAAAGAGCGGGAGGAGCTTGAAGCGGAACGCGAGATGGTGAAGAAGGATATGGAAAGCTTGAGCAGACAGGAAGCCAGGTACACGTCAGAGATTTTGCAGAAAGAGACCGAGCTCAGTATTGAGAAGAGAAGGTGGAAGGAGGAATTTGAAGAGATTCGCATAACTCGAGAGGTCCTTATTAGGGAGAAGGAGGAATTCTCAAGGGAGAAGGAGGAGGTTTCAAAACGGCGCGAAGAGTACCACTTGGAGAAGCAAGACTTGGAGGGTGAGAGGGAGGCCTTGGAAAGGGAAAGGGTGGAGCTAGCCCTGAAGAGGGAGGAACTCAAAAGGGCAAGAGAGCTTCACTCTAAGCAGGAGGATGAGTTGTCGAAGACAATGGAGGAGATGCTGGCAAAGGAGAGGATGTTGAAGAGTGAACGGCGGAAGTTGGAAAGTGCAAGCGGCAAGCTGAAGGAAGAGAGGGAGGATCTTGCAGCGGAGCTAAATGATGTCAAGAGAGAGAGGGATGATGTGATCAGGGAGCGGGAGTCTGTCAGGAAGGAGAAGGATGAGCTGCTCCTGGAGAGAGATGATTTGGAAAAGGGAAGGGAGGATCTTAGAAGAGAGAGAGAAGAAGTTCGGCGAGAAAAGGACGAGCTGAGGAGAGAGAGGCTGCAGCTTCTTCGACAAGAGGAGAGTTTGGTCAAGGATAGAGATGATCTAATGAGGGACAGGTCGAACATGTCAAAGGTTGAGCTTGAGCTCAGCAAGCAAGTGGAGGAGCTGAGGAGACAGAGAGAGGAGTTGGAGGTGGTGAAGGAAAGACTTTGTGATCAGAAAGAGGCTCTGAATCTCCAGAGTATGGAGCTGACTAGGCAGGGCGAGGAGCTGCGCAGACGAATGGATGACCTAGCAAGGGTGGACGACTCCATGCGGCGAAGGCGAGAAGCAATGCTTGTCGAAGCCAATGCAGCGGTTAACCATTCTGGCAGCCTTGTTGCGACTCTCTTAGCAAATGTTGTCGAGGTTGAGGATGGAGCCACTGCAGTCCTGGCCTTGCCACAGGGCCTTGCACTGAGTGGTGAGGACCACCAAGGTGGACGCAGCAGAGATGAGCGAAGTGGTCAGGAAAGGGTTTCTGAAGGTGGTAGGGAGGAGACAGATAAGGTGTCATGGAGAAGTGAAACTCGAGTCAGCAGTAAGTTGAGGGAAGCAAGGAGCTACTACCTTCGGCAGCACGCAGCAGAATCTGAGAACCGCCGAAGTATACCAGCGAGTGCAATTGCAGAGGAGGATGAGAGGGCATTTGAAGCGCGCAAGCGGAAGAGAGGGCACAGTGAGCTCTCGCGGAATGATTTGCAGAGAGATGATTCGGCACCAGGTACTCAATGCGGAGAGGCGGAGGAGCAACAGGGCAACACGGATAGACGGGTAGATGTAGTTAGCAGTGCGGGACGTAGTGGAACACCACCGAGCGCACCCAGCGGTATGGACGGCTCACCCCAGCGTCGTCGGACGAGGTCGATGCAGGATGTTATTGACAAGGGAAACGAAATATGGATGGCATCAGGTGTAGAGGCAGATGAGGTGATGGACATAGGGAAATCGGATGCTATGGAAGGCCGGAGGAGGTGGAAATCACGGGCCCTGGCTGATGCAGAAGAGGAGGCAACGGAAGATGACACAGGCAAGGAGGAATCGGTGGGTGTAAGGAAGCGAGAGAGAACTGTCAAGTATAACCTTCGGAGGACAACAGTGTAAGTTCCCAGCTTCAGATCAAACATGTCCAATCTGCTGGTGTAAGAAGTCCAATGGTTATTTGATATGGTACTGGGGTGATGATACCCCTGACTGGCTGGATATATCAGCGCTAGGAACTTCAAATTTCCCATATGGCTTTCAGTGGGGGAACTGTTTATTTCTTGTATAACGTTCAGCAATCGAAAGTTAGAAACTGAATTTTCTACGTGTCCTCTGTCGCTCTCTTTCTCTCTCTATCTCTGTATCAACCTACCTGTTCTTCCCTACCTCATGTGGCAAGGAGACTGTGGTGTCTGGCATGCGGAAGCAGTCGACAAAACGTGCAGTACTGGGTCTGCCGAAACACTCGAGATGATCATTTGACCTACCATTTATTGTCTAATGAGTAGAGGGATGCTTGTTTTATATTCACTTGATGAATGGGTTGTGTTTGCAGGTATCATCAAGCCAAACGAGTGGTGGAGCATAACAGAGATGATCAGGCTTCTGGAGGTGGAGCTGCCATGGCAGTACAGGTTGCAGGCACATCTGCTGGGCTTGTGCCCCCTTCTCCAGAAATGGTGCGATTCCTCTTTCAGTGTTATACATCTGCTTTGTCAGCTGAATGCAAGCCTCCGTTTCTATTGTACATTGTTTTAGGTGTTTCAAATACAAGACTTTCACAAAACGTATAAAATAAAAGCAACTAATAATGCTGGTTACTACTCCTATCAAGGCTAAAAGAAAGCTCCGCAATCTACAGCAGCAAAAAGAGAGAAAATTTGCTGCAAAATCCTGCTAATGGAGGTATTCCTGCCAATGAAAACATAGTAATAGACATTGTAATAGCTAAAATAGGATTCGTTAATGCTAACGCGGCTAAATCCGCTATATATTCTCCAAATTATGGAAGGTCAAGGTGATTGTCAGCTGAAGTTGTTTGATGCGTGAGCCCACACGCTGCTTTTTAGTTCTGTCTGGCAGCGTCGGGTCTTGCTCCACTACAGAACATTCGAACTGTATCTGGAGGCACAGTGGTCCATACACACCCACAATGTCGAGTTGGCATGCATCTGGGCAAGTACACAGTTGAGATACATATGGGATGTTGCGTAGTTGAGGGCTTGCACCCTCCTATGCCAACGGAGGAGGGAGATGGTGGCAATAGACGAGAAGCGGGAGGTAGCAGACACAGAACAAGGAGAGAAGACCATGGTGAAAGGGAGGTTGGTGGGGGAATATCGGGAGTGGGGATGAAGGGTGCGAATTAAAAGATGGAATCAAACAGACTCGGGGGAATGGAAAAGAATGAAAGGTAGAAAAGGGAGCAGGTAGGGAAGAACTCGTGAGAGAGAGAGAGAGAGAGAGAGAGAGAGAGAGAGAGAGAGAGAGAGAGAGAGAGAGAGAGAGAGAGAGAGAGAGAGACGCCGCTGTCCCATGTGGTGACGCCATGCAACAAGTGACTGAAAGAGAGGTTGTAGAGAGCAAGAGAGAGAGAGCGAGAGAGAGCTGGCAGCAGTGCGTGGGACGAGGCTGCTTTGCGTGGACAGTGCCACCACCAAGCTTGCGAACACCGTCACACAGCACTGCTGAGCTTTGGAACAGCGCCATGTGGCATCGCTGCCAAGTTTGGAAACAACATCGGGGAGAGTATCACTGCCATGTGGCATTTAGGCCACGGATATCTCACTGATGTTTTTCGTGTGTGAGGGCACACTGGCTTTGCTAGTGCAGTATTGCATGCCTGTGGGCGGTTATTTTTCCTGCTATTGGAAACAGCCATGGCAAGCTGCTTTTGGCGTTACTTGGTTGGCCTGCTAGTGGCACTCGCCTCTTATACTCTCTTGGTCTGTAGGTCTTTGTTGGGGAGGGACAGGGGTGTGTGGGGAGAGTCGTTCCAGCAGCCCAACTCATATAGCATCATCCAACCTGCATAATACCAACCAGCATAAGCCCATACAGGACTATCCAACCCACATAGTATGACTCACCCCGCCTACTACCCACCTCTTGTAGTACCTGACAGCCACACCACCCAGGCCATGAGGTATCACCCAGCCTACATAATATCACCCACGTGGTCATGCCACACAAAGCACCACCCATCCATCATTGTATGACGTAGCTGTGGCATGCTCTTTCCTTTTTGCATTTTGAAAACACTTGTGGTCCATTTCAAGTAAATGAGGGTTCTCTTTTGGGGGTGGGTTCTCTCTGTTTCGAGCGGATCCTTGCAGTCGAGCTCACTTAGCATTATAGCATTATCAAGCCTACATGGTACCATCACGCCCACATACAGACATTCATGACCGCCACAGAGAGAGAGAGTATCTTTGCCCGCACCAGGCAAAGCTGGGGGGTGTGTGGGCGTAATGTTTTGAACGGTGTAGTGAAGGGGCCGAGAGAGAGAGAGAGAGAGAGAGAGAGAGAGAGAGAGAGAGAGAGCTGTCTTCAGGGTGAAGAAAAATGTGTCCATGTTGAATCTTTTTTTTGTTTGGGATAGGTGGGTGCACAATTTTGGTGTGGCAGTGGGTTCTTCGGTCACAGCGACATTGATTTCATTGGTCGAGGTATTGGTCGTCAATTTCTGGTTCTGCTGCTTAATGGATGCCTTCATGAAGTTCAGATTGTTGACTTGCTGCCCCTTTTCCCGGTGTTTTCTATCGTGTTGTGCACAGCCGTATTGGCTGTACTTGTCGCTGATTGCAACCATCGTTTTTTTTGTTACCATTGATGAAAGCAAATGGTCTTGTCTTTTCTTCAGATCTGTGTGGATGTGACTCGCCCTGCAGTTTCTGATAGCAATCATTTGTATTTGTTTTGGCAATGTCTTGCCTGGATATGTCCTTTCCTCCTAGAGTTTTTCCTGAGAGGGCCTTGGGCTTTGAATTTGGACTTTCAGATTGGATGAACGGTTAAGATCGAATCGTCTTTTCTACTCTATTCAAAGGCGTTCGTTTTTACACTCAGAGGTTTTTGAACTTCATGACAATGAGAGGGGACTGTTTTTCTTTGAGCCTTCTTGTTTCTATTCTATGCTGTGTGCGTTTTCCAATTGGGCAAGGCGCAGGGTGTAAAAAGCTCAACAAAAGGACTAACGGGTGGAAGGAGATGAGGAATGCTTTTTGTTTGTGGCGTCTCTAATGAGTGATATGGCTCTTGACAATTCATCATTGCATTATTGTTGGTAACAGGGAAGGAAGCTTACTCGATCGTTGGGGCTGAAGAAGCACTCCAATCCCAGGAGAAGAGAATCTGAAAGAGGGGATGGAACCAGCCCTGACACGTCTCAGGAGACGGTGGGCATTTGTGGTGGGAAGTCTGCAGAGGATGAGCACGCATCACACGGACGATCCCGAGAAGAGCGAGAGTATCACAATGAGGAGGAGGTGGAGGAGCTGGGAGTTGAGGGTGAGAGAGAGGAAGGGGGAGAAGCAGATGACGATGAAACTCCAGAGAAAACATCAGAGAATGGATGGCTCGACTGGTTCCTACCCGTTCCGTGGAAAGTGTAGGGCTTGTTAGCTTCGCTGCTTTATTTGTCCTTCATGTGGATTGGAGGCCCACCCCAGCCAGGCCTGGACTGTCACGTAATGATAGTTTGTTGTCGTGTGTAGATCTGCTGTGCCTTTTGGCCCTCAAATAGGGAGCGGCAAGAGAACACACAGTTGCTGTGCCCCACCTCTCCCACACCTGGGCTGATGATTGCAGGTGTTAAGTGAGGACGAGCAGGCTTGGGATGCCTGGTTTTCATTTGGATTGCGAAGGAGAGGAATGCTATTCATTGGCATGGGACTTTTTCGTAGAAGGGACTCTCACTAGCTTCCTCGTTTCTGCGCTTTTTGAGCCTTTGGACTTTCTGGGGGCTCGTAGAGGGGTCCCTTTCTTGTGATTGTGTTTGCGTTGCTATTTTGGTGGTGTAGAAATGTGGATGTTCTCTCAGGGTAATGGTCTTGTGTGGTTTCAAGAGGAGCTGCAGACTCAAGACGGGTGGATGTGTTCACAGGTCAGTGAACGAGGGTATCAATGCTGTTTGTTGGTATGGGCCTCGATTAAAACAACAATGTCTGGTGTATTTTTCTGTCATAGAGTCTGTGCCACAAGTGTGGCATGCAACTGAGACATGTTTCGATGGCAGATAAATCCCCATTAGACGTGCAGAATATAACTGGCTCCATGTGAGGCCAGCCCGCAGATTGGTTCCCTTTGGGCGTTTGTCGTTGCGTCTGTCCACTTTTGGGCCAGAACATTTTGCCATTCCCTGTTGGTAGGGAAAAAATATTTCTTTGTGCTTGACATCTAGTTCGAGGATGGGGCTTGTATAATGTGTTTGGTGACATGCGCGTAGTTTGATGAGTGTGTTTGTGTGCTTTGTCACACATGCATGCAAAATGCGCGGGTTTGAATGTGTGGTATTCCGATCTCCAGAGGAGTGGGAGGATGAGGGTAGGTGGAGTGCGTCAACATCAGGTTGTATAGGGGGGTAGGCAGCCTGAAGAATTCTAGTGTGGATGTTTGTCCAGTAGCAATATCTGTTCCCCGAAGGTTGCAACGTGGATCACCACGTCAGAAGCTCCGTATGCCTAGACAGGGAGAACGGGTAGTCATCAATTCACGTTCTGCACAGTATATGACGTGTTGGGATCTGCAGGCACTGGTTCTGGTTGTGCGATGAGATCATGCAAGCATCGAGATGCTGGAGGGCATTCGCGGTTTGTTCACTTTCGACCTCACAGTTGTTGAAAAGCCAGTTGTGATGAGCTTGGCTTGAGGGAGAGGACAGGGGTGCCCAGTGTTGGCTTTTGATCGGATGGGGTAAACCTCATGAGGCTTGGTGGCAGGTGAATAAGTTACCGCAGTAAGTCACAGCCATAAGTTACCGCAGCAAGTCACAGCCGTAAGTCGCAGGAGGGCAGTTTCCAAGTAATGCGATGGAGGAAGGGAGCATATGCAGGCGCAGGGGGACGCACAAGGAGGATTTCTTTTGTATCTGGATGTGCTATGGTGGACACGTCTGAGTTTTGAATCTGTAGTGATCTGTGCAATTGTGTAGATTGACTTGGTCTTTGTCTGTGCAGAGACATCTGTGAATGGAAAGAATGTACACGCAGAGGTAGTCGGAACCTGTGGGGATGCCTTTCTTAACTACCCAGGTTGGTGGACTTCGGCTGTATTTGTGAATAAGCCGTTTGGTGTTTCAGTCTTGCATTTTCGTTAAGAGGAATGCATGCACGGATGGTGATTGAATTGTGTCTCTCTCTCCAACTCTCTGAGGGATGAATGCTTGCGGAGCGAAGTTATGTTTGTGGACGATGACTCGAAGTTGGCCTTCCTCTCTCCTGGCTTACCCACAGTTGTGAAAGCAATAGTCGGGGGGGGGGGGGGGGGGGGGGGGGGGAGCAGGGAAGGGGGGGATGTTGCAGGGGTGACAAGGGGCATTGAGTTGTGGAAATCAAGTTTGCTTGGCAGGGAAAGAATCAAAAGGTGGTGAGGTGGACTGTCTCTCTGCGAGAGGTGAGACGAGAGGCTTGAACATGCACAACGCAGCAAGACGATTTGTGGTTAAGCAAGAGGTTCTCAGCAAAGAAGACATGATGTGGAAGTTCCCTTCGAGTACTGAACGAACAGTCGAGTGCACATGATTGAAGTGCCCGGCTTCAGAAGTAGTCCGGGGACGATTTGGAACGAGGTCAGCGAGCTGTTTCTCTTTCTGTTTTTTCTCCGTGGCGATAGCGAGTGTCAGTGGTGCTGTTGGTTGGGTGACTTGTGTTTACGGGTGCTGAAGAAGAATGCCTGTGTTCATCTGTGTATGGCTTGTTACTTGCTGCTGATATAGATTTGAAGGAGCATGAGTGAATCGTCTGCTCAGAGATTTTGGTCAGTCAAGGTTCCCCCAGCTATTGGCCGAACGACTCTGCAGAACTACTTGTACTGTAGTGAGAATAGCAGGGATTCCCCGAATAGGCAGATCAGACGAGGGAGCTTCATGTGGCTGATCGGTGGTTGAATTGGCATGAGTAGGGGTTGTAGCGGTGGACAACACTGGCCTGCGAGCTGCTGGGAAGTCTGGGTAATGGGGAACAGGGAAGGCATGTGTATTTTATGGAGAAATCAGGACCCGAACACGTGAATGAATGCAGGTGCATGTCTGTGCAGCACTACCACTCTCTAAATGGTGGTATGTGTTCACTTGCAACGACCTGAAGGAGGTGAATGGATGCTCTTAGCAATGTGAACTGGTTGGGGCAAGGTTGGGAGGTGGGCTTGACGTGCTGGAGGCAAATAAACGGTAGTTGTGGCCTCTGGTTCAGGAATTTTGTCTTTGCTGTAACTTAGACTTGATAGTAATGATGGTTTTTAATCAACTTCATTAACGTTTTAAGTAATGTATATGGGTGTACACACATGCGTTGGACGGGTGGTGTTGGGTAATCCATTGTGGATGTATTTACTTGTTCACCCCCAAGGGAGCTTTTATGTGGATGAACCCTTTCCTTGGTTGGCACCTGGCCAGAAGGGGTGGGGGTGGGGGGGTTGGAATCTGCCCACGAGCACCAGGAGGGACAGGATTGAGAAGTCGAAAAGAAAAAGAAAAATTGTAAGCGGCTCAAACAGGCAGAATTTCGTGCAGGTCCTCAGCAAGAATTTTAAGACGATGTAGTTGTTTTTTCGTTAAGTTTTTGAATATGTTTATCTCTGTGTTTTAATGTTTTTGTGGAACGACTGCCTGGAAACCCTACCTGGACTTCGTGCTGGCCAGGCCTGCCGGAGTAGGTACCGGGGCGCACAGAACCAGCCTGAACTGCGTGGGGACCGCCGCAGGTCGAACATGATTTCATGGTGAAAGAATGTCCGATTTTGGTGACGGGAAATGACAGGTTTGTTGAGTGCAGGTTGTTCATACACTGCCACAGGACGAGGGAACATTGCCATGGAGAAGGTTAGTGACCATGGGTAAAGTGACTGATGCTTAATGCTGAGTCTTTGGATCCTCCACAAATTGAAAGTCGCGGAGATGTGCGTCTCTTTTTTCTTTTCCCTTTTTCTCTGGATCAGGGATTGTATATCAAACTGATCAGAAGGGGTACTACACTTTATCTTAGCCGAAAGGCTGAGGAAGGTGTTGTGTATGTTCTAATGAAGTAGTTTGCATGAAAAACCAGGGGGCATGTGCTGCAGACTCGTGTGCGTTGACAGCGTCACGTGCAGTTTTCAGGTAGTGAAACAGTAGCTGGTGCCGAGTGCAGCAGTGGCTTTCGGTGGAGCGGCAGTGACATTAGGTGTGTCACTGTAGTCTACAAGCAAAGAAAGTTGGCTGCATTGTGAATATCCGTTTCCGGATGATGGAAGAGGGGGCCTGAGTATTGCTCTTGTGCAGCCTCCGTCAAAGAGTACCAGGATCCAAGGATAATACCGTTTGGAATTTTGGATGCGATATGCCACAGCTTTGAGGGCCCGAGTTTCAGCTTGTTGTGACACCGAGTGACTTACGTTGTGTTTGACTGTAAACCATCACTGCGCAATGGTGGGCTTCTGGTGATCAAGGAGTGCATGCAGGTAACCATTGGATTATGGTGGTTTGAGTGGGTTGGGGTTCCACGATTTTGCATGGTGCTCTTGGGCTGCTTGTTTTCAGGTGGGGTTGTCCCGTAGTCACTGAGTCAGCAGCCAGCCGATGCGGAGACTGGCAAGCATGGTCACTTTGTCGAGTTTCGGAGTTTGGGAGTTCTATTAGGCCCTTGATGTCAGTCTGCAAGGGAGTTCCAATGGCCAAAGATGTGGGGGCCTCAACATGTGAAAATGGGGACCGGCAAAAGTTTTGAGCTGTGGGAGTGTCAGTCTCGTAGATGTGGGGGTCTCAACATGTGAAAATGGTGACCAGCAGAAACTTCCAGCTGTGGGAATGTCGTAGGTTGCTGCTTTCGCTACACTTGCATCTGTCAGAGCTCGAACTGGTTTCCTTTGCTTCTGACATGTGAAAATGGGCACAAGCAAATTACTCGCTGCTTTCATTGCACGTGCATCTGTCAGAGCTCAAACTGGTTTCCTTTGTTTCTTAGATCCAGCCTTATGGTGACCCACGTCATGAGCAGATCTTCAGTGTCTGTCAGGCCAGTGATGGGGGTGAGAGTATGGGAAAATTGTGTCCTGCATTGGTTTGTCCATCCATGGGGATGGGTGGGAAGGTTGTATCTGAACGGTTTGTTATAGGACACTGTAAATGCGATACCTTTTGCATTCAGGGTAAGTGCATTGTCATCAGTCTTGCATTCAGGGTGACTCTTGGCTTTATACTGGAAGCTTGTAGAACCTTCGGGATCGAACAAATCTTTCTGGTGTGATTCGGTAAGTTTTGTATGTCGTCCGGTACTCTGCCGACTGGTTTACCGTCGATGTGTTTTTTAACCACAAGTACGTTTCCCAGCCATTTTCCAGAAACGTGCCGTGCATGCTGGCGCGTCGGGTGGGATGCACCGGAGGGCTGTTTCGTCCGAAATGGATGCATGCGAGGGGACCACCTGCGAGGAAATTTGCAGGTGTACTGTTCTGAGTGTTGGTTTAGTATCAACAGAGTTGGGCCCCTGCGGATAAGCAATACCCTGTCCCTACACTAAGCTGTGGACTACAGTGAGGGTTAGTTCTGCACTAGTGGATGCGCATCCTGAATCGAGGTGACATTTTTCAGGTCCTGTCGTTTCATTGCCCTATCGTGCGTTTGAGGCTGTTGAACCACAAATCTACATCTACAAGGAACTTCTATAGGTTAGTTGGCCGCGGAGGGACGTTTTGCGCCGATAATTTTCATTTCCCACGAGTTCTGGCCTTCGGATTTCGAAACCAGGGGGTGGGATTGCACCACATGAAGGTTTTCAGAGAAATGTGTCCGGGCCTAGCTGACTAACACGTGATTCTGTGGAGTGGTGTGAAAAAGATTGTGTTGCTGCCGAATTATCTGTTGTCGAAGTGAGGCGTGTGGGGCGGTGGATCGTGTCAAAGAATCGGGGTGGCTGATTTGATTTTGAGGTGTTGTGTCTTGCAGCTGTTGATCTACCATTGTCGAATGGTGGTGCCTTGACTGGCGTTGTTTTTTTGTTTTTGTTTTTTTTAATCACACGCCCCCTGCAATGCTAGTGGCGCTGATGAAGCAGACACGACTAGCACCCGGGGAGGGGATCCATCTATTGGTGGGGGAGCATCACCTGCCGGAAAACGGGTCCAGCGTCCTATATACAGAGTGAATGCCAGAAACTGAGAAAGAAGCCTGCCGGCATTGATTGCTCTGCTCTGCAGAGGATTAACTTTGCAGGTTATTGAGAGGAATTTGCCCGATCTGTTTGTGGATGTTATAACTGCCATGTATGAGAAGGAGCACTGCCTACTGCTGACCCACTCACACCACTCCATACCATTGCGTATCCACCGTGGTGAACTGATGGGGAGGGAAGGGATCGGGAAATTCCGAGGGTGGCCGCAGCGGGATCCTCGGATCCACCGTTGTCCAATCTCTGAAGCAGATCTGATAGTCTCTCTTGATTGTCGCATGGCTGCCTTCCTCAGTACGTTCGCTATCTTCGGGGCTGCCGCCCCCCTCCCATTTGATGAAGGCGATCCGGCCCCCGTTGTCGCTCCCCAAAATTGTGAAATTTTTTGTGTTATGTCTTCTTGTGTCTGAAGCCTATCCAGCTGATCTTTGACTTTCTTCCATTGTGCCCTGAGGTCCTGGTGTACATATTGTTTAATCATATCTGTCATTTCCTCCCCAGCTATGTGGACCCTTTCCATGACATGTATACAGCGTCTTCTCCATATGGCCCACATAACGGCTCTCCCTATACTATACATGTTGTTTTCAAAGGTGCTGTCTGAGGGGGAAGTCCATGTCACACATAGTATCGCCCTCTACTCCCACGGCCATGTAGAACTGGTGCCCAAAAGGCTGCAGATTTTGTCCCACCATCGCCATGTGAGGATCGCTCCCGGGCGTTGCATGAAAATGTGTTCAATTGTTTTCGGAGTTCTTCGGGAAGGGAACGCCGAAGAGCATGACTCGCACCACGGGAGCGTCCGGCCTTTCTGTTCCAGGTTTGTACGATCAATCAGCCAGTCATTGGTGGGGAGGCAGCGGTGTTCTATCTGCCACTGTAGTGAGGCCATTTTTGCAGGCCTGGACCGCGTGAGGGTGAACCACGGAATGGGGCGGATGGCTTCCCTTCCCACGTTCAAGTGCGACCTCCAGCGGTTCCTCACGATGTCCCTCAGATTTACTTCAGGCCGTAGTAGTCTGTACGTGGACTTCACTGACAGTGTGGGGAGCATTGGATTCTTCGTCACCCGGGTTCTGCGTGCGGGGGGCCATTGCCACTCCTCGGGTTCAAGGGGGAGATCCACCAGGCGGGTCTCTGGCCAGTATGCTATCCAGTCCTTTACTTGTAACACCCGAATTTTGTGCAGGTCAGCGTTTCGAAACTGTCTCATCTCATTCGGGGAATATTCGGATAGCAGATTGCCTATTCCTTGCGGAGGTGTTTAACCAAGGTTTCATCCTTGCCTACATCCACGACACGCCCCACACTCTCCGGTTCACCCGGGGTCCCTGCCCAATCCCCCTTCTCTAGCTTTGGGCCCTAGCGCATGATGCGCACCCACTCCAGGGGGATTGCATGCGCACCCACTCCAGGGGGATTGCAAAGACAAGCTGTTCCAGGTTATTTTCTATATTATGGCAGTGTTTCAGTACCGCCCTCAGTTGTGGTGCAGTTTTCCAGTCTCTATTCTCACCGTCCCAGATGTTTTTAACTCTTAACTATTCCTTTTTTAACCCAGCTGTTCCATGGGGGGTTGGAACTGCAATATATCCTTCTATTCCGGTCCGTGATCTTTTTGTTCCCGAACCGGGGTTGTTTAGCCACTTCCTCCCACTTGGACGGCCCGGGTTTGGTCTGGTAGCGGTAACAGACCCCAAGCTTTGAGGTAGTGAATCCAGAAATCGTCCTTGGCCAGATCGCTTCGGGGCGCCCCCCTGCCCAAAGTCTGATGAGAACGGGGGCATCTAGGTATGGACCAGAAGCGGTCTTCCAGCCAAGTGAGGGGGTCAACAGTTTGCGGTGCTTGTGGGGCCAGTCGAGCGAGCTGTTCCAGCACCAGGGCGTACCATGGAAGGTCCCGTGTGAGCAGCAGCCTCTTTATCCATTGTACCATCAGTGTTGTGGTCTGAGTATCGGGGTCCAAAATCCCAAAGCCCCATTTATCTTTGCGTTGGATAATTGATCGCCAGGCCACCCTATTAATGACATTCGAAAGCTCACTGTTGCCTCTCCATAGCAAGGCTGTTATTTGCTTTTAGTGCCCGCAACGCGGCCTTGCTGAGTGCCCATATCGTGGATTTGTACCACGAAGCAGCTAACACCACACTATTGATTACTAATGTCCTACCGATTAAGGATGTGTGTTGGTCATTCCAGCGCTGCAGTTTTTCGAGCGCAGGTTTAAGGCTTCAATCGCAGGTCTTCCTATCGCTGTTAACAGGGTCGACTCCGGAAGCCATTTGACACGGGGCAGCTTCGGGGGGCGCACCCCTTGGTGATGAATCCACCACCCCAGCGTCTTGTTTCCCCAATTAACTATCATATCTGACACTGCTCTGAACCTATCAAAAAGATGCTTGACCTCTTCCATGTTTTCAATGGTGGCGTCTACCATGAGAGTCAGATCATTCGCAAACATCGAACAGACGGAGATTGCTTCTTTGGGGATGGTCGAGATCTGCAACTTCGTTAAATCCTTGTTTGCGCGGAGGTTCTCATCCACAGCCTCCATGACAATAATGAAAAGAAAAGGGGCCAGAGGATCGCCTTGACGGACTGGCCGTTCCAGCGGGAATGGTGGCGCCAATGTCCCGTTGACCTGGACGGTTGTGGTTGCATTCTGATGCAGAATTTTAGCCCATCAACGAAACACCGGTACTATATTCATTTTTTCCATGCAGCTGTCCAAGAACGGTCAGTCGACGTGGTCATACGCTTTCTCAAAATCGATGAAGACCACGGCCACGTTTTGCTTGTCCTACTTGGTTAGTTTAAGAAGTTCATTAACCAAAAGGATATTGTCGTGGATCCTATGACTTTTAATAAAACCCGTTTGTGACGGGTGAATAATCTGTTCCAGGACCGGTATCAACCGGCTTTCACGAGCATCTTGTAAACGATGGTCAGTAGACTTATAGGGCGGTAATTTCTTATGTCCATCATATGACCCTTTTTCTGTAGCAGAGTGAGGATACCTTGCCTTACCAGCTCCCCCATACTGCTTGTCTCCCAGACAAGACGATAAAACTCCATGAGGTTAGGGGTCATTTGGGGCCAGAAGGTCTCCCGAAATTCTTTGGGGAGACCTTTCGCACCCGGGTCTTTTTCCTCGTTCATCTGCACCATTGCTGATCGGATGTCCTCCTTGGTTAGGGGCATTCTGCAATTTTTTTTTTCTGACGTCCTTGTCTTTCTGGTCACACCTTGTAGTGAAAAGGTCCTTATAAAAGGATCTTGCTATCTGTATACAGTGAGGGGTAGAAGTGGCCACGTCTCTGTGTCCTGATTGCGGGTCGTATAATGCTTTTATCCTTGTTCTCCGCATTCGGGCACGGGCCATACCGGTGCATATTGGTTGTTTTCTGTGTTGTTGGCTGGATCATTTTGTTGTTCAAGTTGTTGCAGTTGTTAGTGAGTCTCCATTTTCTGCTGATAACTTATGGCTGTGAGCTATTTTGAGTATTCTTTGCACTTCTTTCCCATGTAAAAAAGGTCGTTATTAAACCAGTCAATCTGTTGTGGAAAGTGTTGTTTTTTTCTGTGTGTGCCAAAATGCCCAACAATCAATGATGTATTGTCGAAAGGTTTGTCGGCTCAAGATAGATACGTTGAGTTTATAAAACCGGGGTCGTGGTCCGGTTTCCTTCGAAATGACAAGACCATTGTGCACATCTTGTGGTCGAGGCCCGGGTAAAGGCTGGCCGGGAGTATTGCTGCGAGTAGCAGCGCTCCGGCCAAGTCCTCCGAGACGAGGATTAAATCAATCCTAAATATCGATTGGCCCTCGGTCCCGTTATTACGTAAACAAGAGTAATATCTTGTGTCTGGGTTGAGTCTCCGGAAGGAATCAAAGGTATTGAGCGAAAGACTTAATTATTTGATTATCTGCTTATCCTCTTCTATATACATCGGAGTGGGGGAAAGGATATTTCATCTGTCCATCAATCGGTCCGGGGCCGCGTTATAGTCCCCCGCTATAATGATGGGAACGCCGTCAGGAATCTATGTTTTGATTTGCTAAAAAAAGGTTCTCCTTTCACTTACCATGTTAGGAGCATACACGCACAAAATACATATGATCTCTAGCTCCAAGGTGACTAGGATTGACACCCATCTGCCTCCTTTATGGTCCACCACCTAGTGAACCGGGTCGTCGCGGGAGTCGGGGGGGATCCAAATGGCCACCCCTGCACTCCCTGGTTTCGGGGCGTAGCCCTGAAGGCCTTGTATGGCCAGATCATTTTGTGTATGCGGTTGTGTTCCGGCGTATCCGTCACAGGAGTCTCTTGAATGCAAACAACATTCGGTCAGTCCGTGCCCCCCATGCCTCTAATCAAATCCCATATTGCATTTTTTCTATCT